TAGAGATGAGTGAGAGAGCAGCTCTTGAAATGTCTACACATCCTTCATAAGGCTGGATTCTACACCCACACTGACTATAACTATGTGCTTGTCAACTGAATGGGAATATCTCTTGAGCTGTAGCCTTCAAGGACCTATAATGGAAATCATCTTGACCTCCAGGCACCCAGCTACCAGGAAGATCTTGACATGCCCTTGAGGAGAGGTGCAAAATACAACCTGAATCATTGTCCTCCTGGATAGGCGAGATAACTTCCTCTCTGGCCACCTACCTCTGTCATTTTATAGAGCTAGAAGACTACTCTCACTCCTTCTGATTTATCATGTCTGTTCATGAGACTGTCATTGGTTCTAAGGACTTTAATGATTGCTCCTTTCAAACCCATCAGATAGATGATATCCATCAATGTCCTCACCTGGGAGACAGCCTTTTTGGTCATTCTACCTTGGCTAAGATGTCAGTGCAAATAACTACTGAATTTCATCTGAGCACGTCTAGGACCCAGTCTGGCAGACAGGTCCCAGGGACAGCACAGAGCGGTTTTGCATGCCTTTACTTGTTAAGGGTTATATTACTTTTATCATTTCTGAGAATTCCCAAACAAGCAACCAAAAAGCGATTGGCATGGTGGAGGAGAGCTGGATGAAGTGGAAGGGCTCTTCCTTAAAGCTCCTGCTCCATGCAACTCCTCCTCTGAGACCTCCCTTGGGTTACCTTTGAATAGAAGAGTACCAGACCCATGTTAACAAATAGCCTAAGAGGTCACAGGCACAGCATGGAGTAAAATGGGAGGAAACACTATCAATGTGTTCGGACAGCTCTTTCCTGCTTCACCCATCACTCCTCTGTGCCTGCAACCTGTCAGCTTGACTATTTTTGGTCCCATGTCCAAAAGACAGCCCAAGTGACAAGCCACTGACTTGAAGCACCTCCACATTGGTGACCTGACACACGGACTACTTGAAAGGCCACTAAAACCTCTGTTCCAGGCACCCACTATAGTCATTCCACCTGCTATACATTAAGGAGAGCTGGTTTTCTCACCAGCAAGTGACACTGGGTAGGAGAGTGAACAAAGCTGCAGGAATCTACCAGCTGCTGCCCTTAAATTGTCCTGCAGTAAAATTGTAAGGGCAGCACCCCAAACTGGCCTCATTACTGAGGCAGAATAGGACTCAGCCTTCGGAGCAATGCACGTTATGCTGTCATCCTTTTCTGCTGACTCAAGTACTGGCAGAACATATGTTACCAGGACTGTAAGGAAGACCCCCAAGGTGACAAGGCATGCTCAGTGGATGAAAAATGCTGAATGTCCATTTGGTAATATAAGAGGAAGAGGATGGAAATGGACCACTGCAGAAGAGAACATGGTGGCCTCTTTCTTAACACTGTAAATATGGCATCAGTTTGTTGTGGCTCCTATTTCTTATTCCTGAAAATACCCCTAAAAGCATCACAGGAGCTGCACATTATTATTAATCATGCTACACGTGTATCACTATTAGCCACAAAGTCCACAAAGTACTAACTGATTGAACAGCCAGTGCACAACAAACATTTCCCAGTCCCTTATCCTTAACATTCATCTGAATCCACAGGGAACCCTCTGCCACAGCATAATAGCTATGCAGAACGTCTCACCAATCTGCCAGACTAGTGCACAGATTATCTTATGTGATAAAGGCATCATTTTTATTTATTTGGTTAGTTAACCAAATCCAACATTTAAAATATAAAGAATAGCAAAAAATATAAATCAAACATGTAACATGCTGAGGAAAACTCATCCAAAATAATTAATCACCACTTACTGCAAGTGGAGACCCAACTCTCAGTCACACCCCAGAAGTTTCCTGGAAACGTTAGGTTTTAATGGCCTTTTAAATGGCAACAACAAAGGGGAGAACGTGATCCCATGAGAAATATCATGCCAGAGAAGAGAGCACAGCAATGGAAAACGGTATCTCTATGGCCCCTCGTGGTAACACACTTTCAGAGGGGGGACCCACAGAGCCCTCCCTTCTCTATCTTACTGGAGCAGGTGATCCCACAGATGTCCAGAACTTGAACCACATAAAGCTTTAAAGTTAACAATCTTGAATTCCACCTGGAAGCCAATCAATAACCAGTGCAGCGTCTGAAGTAGAAGTGTTATCCAAGCAAAATGAGATGCCTTCTTAACTACTCAGGCACTTGCATTCTGGACCAGCAACAACATCTGAGTTGTCTTGATGGCAGTCCTTGTAACAGCCCAACCAAGAAGTGACCAAGGCATGAGTGACCATGAGCAGGACCTCCTGACCTAGGAATGGTCATAAGTAATGCACAGGATGGAGCTGTGTAAAGGCAGTCACAGCCACAGCTGCCACCTGCTTTTAGCATTTGCCATCAGTGCGTACCTCTGGCACAAGAACAACAATGCCTGCCTAGATCTGTAGAAGATGATCAGGTTTTGGTCTGTGTGAGTTTCCTGAATATTTCATTTACCGAGACTTCCTAGAGAGTTGGTGTGGTGTAATAACTCAGAACAATCCAATAGTTAATTCTCTCTGTATTCTTTCCCAAATACAGAAATAAAAATGTAGACAATATCATATACATGCCTTTCTTAAGCCATTCATGAATGCATTTCATCACATGAAATGCTTTACATAAATATTTTCATTATTATGGGTGCAGTGGTTAATTAAGTTTTTTTGATCAATTTAAACTGTTCCTAAACAAACAGCATTTTTAAAGAGAAATGATACATTTTTCATATAATTACTTGAAAATATATCTAATATGTTAACAGTTGCAAGGATTTTATATGCCTTTTATTGGAAAAGTTATCTGATTCCTTCTTTGGAAGAATGGCTATTTAAATTGTGGGGTTATGCCTCAATGTCTAGAATACCTTTGTATTTAAAAAGTAAATCTGACACAGAATGTGATTCTAACTGAAAATCATTCTTGGACTACAACCTCATACAGGAAATTGTGCCGTATCCAAAATTTGGATTGTAGAGTTTATATTTTAATTTGATGTGCAGTTTACAATATTGATTTAATATATTGTTTGTGACCTACAGTCTTTCATTATTTGAACTGTGTTAACCAAGCATTTTAGCTCAAAATTCAACATGATAAAATGTATATGAAGAATCTTGTAATATCATAAACTTCCAATATTTAGGGTTTTGCTAATTCAGATTTGTTGTTGATCTGCCTATATTTCATCATCCATACTTGATTCTTCTATTTGTATCACCTAACTTTCATATTCTTTAAAAAATATAAAACAGTATAATGGAAAATAAAAGAAAATATAGACTTCAAGCACAGTCTAATACTTTTATATTCCAAAGAATGCCTCCCTGTTTTCAGTGAGTTTCTCTCCATGATGTATATGTGTGAATAGAACCTTAATCCTCCCCTGAAACACATTCCAACATAAAAACCACAACTCCAGACAGTTATCCTAGTTTTACAGGCAGTCTCTCTCACGCCCATCCAAATACACTTACAAACTCCCTCACATTTACTCAACAATTAGAGACTCACTAATCCACAAGACACACTAGAGAGATAAAAGATACGTGAAACAGGTAACTCCCTCTCTACAAAGTTTGTACTTCAGCAAAGATATCCTTCTGATTACTTCTACTGCCAAGGCAGACAGGTAAAGAAACAATGCTACAGAGAACTTGGCAAATAAAAATTCCCTTCACCTTCCACCTCTGAAAACTCCTATCTGGAATTGCCTCTTTGATTTAAATGAAATGTCTACTGTCCCATTGAATTGGGCAAGTTATCAGATATATGAACTGGAAAAGCAAAATTAATATCCACATGAGCTAACGTTTAAATAAACAGTGACACTATTTCTGTATAATAACAAGCAATACAGTTAACAGGAATTTGCTTTTCTCACCAAATACAGCTTTTATTTTATGAACTTGTACATAGATCCATCTCACCCCTGCCAGAAACGAACTCATCTCATCTATGTCAACAGCAATACAGAGAATCAATCAGATGGTTATTGAATTGCTCAACATGAAAAAACATTAACATACAGCACTTCTGAGCAGTTGAAATGTTTTCCATGCATAGTTTTAATATCGTTGCAATAATTTCCATTCGTCCTGGAGAAAATCTATGTGGTCACTGAGAATTGACGTCAACTTAATGACACATAATCAATCGATCAATCATTTCCATAGCTTCACCAACCTTCCCAGAAGCATGTTAAGATTCAGTCCCCATCATCCCCACCCTAGCTGTCTGGGGTGACAAGTACTGAAGCCCCAACAGATCTAGAAGACATTAGGATGAAGGCTGCTTTATCATTCTCCCCATATTATTGAATGGGGTGGTGGCGGTAAAGCTAGTTATTATTGAAGGGGTGGGGGGTAAAGCTAGTCTCAGGTAAGCCCTAGTGAGTTCAGATATAATTCCTAAGGAGGACATTTCATTGAACTTCGAATTACACTCCCCAGCAAAATTATCATCTATGGAGACAATACCGACACAAGATCAACAAACCCTTGTTGAAAACAGCAAATTTCCTTGTCTATATTCAAGAGACGGGGAGGTGGGAGAGAGAACATGCTCAACCACCTCGCAGTCTTGGGCGCATCGGCTTCAGAACTGAACTGCCCCGAAACGAAGGAGGTCTATTTCGAAGCAGCTGTAAGCAGCTGTAGTGTACACGTTAGGAAAAAAATCCCGTGCAAAACCTAGAAACGTTTGTCAAATGCCACGCTGTGTCTTTGGTACTTTCGTCTAAGTTTAGGCATCCGGGAACGGGGAACTGAGATTATTGTTGCTTCCCTTTTGCTCCCAAGATTTCGGAAGAAAAACAGAAATCCTCACCCGCAACTCCTAAACCCGGAATTTCCTCGCTTTCTCTCAAGGGAGCAGGTAACGACGAGATGTGGGGCGGGGGCGGGGGGGGAAGAGAGAGAGAGAGTTTCCTAAGCCGTGAGAACCAAGATAAGGCCCGGAACTCGCTCACCTCCTCCTCTCCAGCCGGACTCTTCTCGTAGCCCTGCCTCTGCCCTGGGCTGCGCCACAGAACCGGCCCCCCGCGAGCGCCGGGGCATCAGGGCCGGCAATTTGGCGATCCCCCTTTCGCGATCCTCGCTCCCGGGTTCGCTCTGCGCGCCGGGCGATTCCAGCGCGCCTCCGACTTCCTGCCCCACTTTAGGCCTCTGCAAAGTGCTTGTTACATTTCCTGGTGCGGGCCATTTTGGAGAAGCATCTCAACCCGGCATCGCTGAACGCGTGGAGAGGAAAGCACCCGGCAGGTCTACGCACGCCGCTTCGCCAGACCCCCGAAGCGCGTCCCTACAAAGTAGCCCAGGGGCTCCGCCCCCTTCCCTCTCCCTTGATCCGCGTAAGAAGACACAAATCCTCGCTGCGCATCTACAAACGCGCCCTTGTTTTGGAGCTATTAATAGCAAGCCCGGGGAAAAATTACGCGCTTGGAGACAGGAGCAGAAGCCACTCGGCGGCACCGCCGCCTGTAGGCCGCCAGGGGGCACCCCGGAGTCTTACTTTCAGCTCGCCAAAGCCCTTCCTCTCGGCGTGGAACGTTAAGTTTAAAGGAGCCGCGCCAGGATTCCCGACTGTAATTCTTCTTTTCTTGCGGGGGGGATCAACATTAGAGAGATGCATTTTCGACTCGCACTCTTTAGTAGAGAAACAGATTATACATCGGAGATGAAAAGTCCAGAAGAGGCAAGGCTTCAAATAATGTAAAGTGGAGGGTGAGAAACATCTGATTGTGATGGCTCTTAATACTGACAGAGTGGCCTATTAACACGTAGTTGTGTAAGACTGCGATGCTAATCTTTGCATAGGCCGGCTTGGAATTATTGTTATTCAATTATATCAAACTAATTGCCAGGAGAAAAAGTATACATCCAATAGTATTAACAATCTCAGGAGCCCTCAAAATTCATGATCATGATTTTTTTTTAAAAAAGGGGGGGGCAGCTTGGGGAATTATTTTATACACAAAATATTTCCCCCCAAAAAGCTACCAAGAAGTCATCTTCCCTGCCCCTTTCCCTCCCAAAAGAAAAAGTTCAAATATTGACTAACCCAGCTCAACAATCTGTTGCTGCCAATCGGGTATACTCCTCCCAGTGTTGTAAAATGACTTTTTTGGTCTGCCTATCTGCCTAGAAAAGAGTCAACAATCCACAATCCATATCTTAATAGATTCCAAATACTGGGAATACAGCTGAGAAGAACATATGCTGCTTGGGAATTATGAGAATCAGAATCCAGAACAGGATGTCAGCATGTGGACATATTTCCCAGGAAAAAGTCCCATTAACCTTCGGACTTCACTTCCAAGTAAACATGTATTAGGACTGCATTGTTAAGGACTTTCAGGGGGCTTTTTAGCTTGTACTATCGATATAGCCCACAACTGGATCTTTACATGCCTCATTAAGCAGTAATATATAAACATGTTACAAAGGATTTGGGCAGTCCGATCCTTGCCAGATGTGCTGACACTGGTTTCCAAACAAGTGTATATAAAGGAGCAGAGACTGCAGTATTATTGATCCCAGTAAGATTTTACTCAGGAGAAAGTCCTTACTTGATCAAAGAGGCTTTTTCCTAAGCATGGGCCTGAATAAATTATGTTTAATAGTAGATATAGTTACACATTCTGAGTGCCTAGGTGAGATATTGATACTGATGTGGTGCACATAGCTGGACAAAATAAATGCTTGTTCTGAATCAGCTTTTTCCCTGCTCTGATAAGAATGAGCAAACAAGGCACTTATTAACGATGTCTCTGGCACTCTGGGAAAAGTGCTCAACAGGTTGCAGAGCATTTTCTCCTCATACAGGAGTGCTATAAGTACAGGGGTCTTCTAGTGTTGGAGGGAGTAATTCCTTCCCATTACCACTACTCTATATACCAGCTACAGTGCCAGCTACAGCCTATCTGCCTAGAAAAGAGTCAACAATCCACAATTCATATCTTAATAGATTCCAAATACTGGGAATACAGCTGAGAAGAACATATGCTGCTTGGGAATTATGAGAATCAGAATCCAGAACAGGATGTCAACAGGGGGTAAAAGGTAAAAGACGTATTTTACATCCAGGCCCTCCCAGCTTCCATTTGCAGCCTCTGCAGCTGAGCTGACCAGAGACTCAAATCAGAAACCTTGCAGAGTTGTTGCCAATCAATGTAGATAGTACTGTGCAAGAGAGATCAATAGCCTCTCTCTGTAATCCTAACGTCAGCCTTATTTAACTAGAGAGGGGCCTTTGTACCAGATGAAATAAGTCCTCATTGCTTGCCTTCCTTCTAAAACATCATTGCACGTGGTAAAAAGGATTTTAATTTTCGTTTTTCATTAATTTCATAGAGTACACCCACCTGAGCTGCAACCCCTTCCATCAGGTTCTCAATATAAACTGTGTACTTTATACATGGGTTTTTCTTTTTGTCTTTTGATACCACAGCCATTTTTAAATCCAATAAATTAATAAATCCAATGAATGAATGAATGAATGAATGAATGAATGAATGAATGAATGAATGAATGCATTTTTGCGCCCCAGATACCAGGAGTCAGGACTGACTTGAAGACATGCACACAAAAAAGCTCACTATTATTGTTACGGTTGTTACTCTTTCCGTTTTGCAACCTGTGCACTTTTGCTCACTTAGAGAATTCCAGAAGTATGCAGGAACCTGCTGGGTAATTTGGGGGGAGCCCCATCTGGTTTCCCATCCACCTCAATTAGCTCTACAGAAGAAGTACTACATTAAATCAATAATATAGTCTTATACTTATTTCCCAAGAAAATTGTTGCCGTGGAAATGATGCCCATATGGCTGTACATTAGTCTTAGAAAGAAACAGTCAAATCTCACCAGGTCAGCCAGCCAGCATTTATGCCAGCCATGAATGTTCACATTGCAAGCTAACTTTACTCTGTGTGCCATGCTCTGGATGTGTCCCGTTACAACTCCATTCCCCATTCATCATTTTGTTTTTGATGACTGGGAATGATGGAGACTGTAATGCTATGTGCACAGAGAGTAGGAAAGCCATTATTCCCAAAACAGGTTGCAATGAGCTTCTGGGATTAGGAAGCCAGAAAATAGAATGCAAGTATTTCTGACTTTTTAGACCAGGAATGAGTAAATTATGGCCTTCTTAATGTTACAGGACTACTACTTCAGGAAGCCCCAGTAAACCTGGGCAATAGCAAGGATTGCTGGAAATAATTCAGTAACGTCCAGAGATCCACAGACAGATTTCCCATTCTTGCCCTCCTCACTTGTTTTAATTATTACAGACCACTCTTACAACTTGCAAGAACTAGCTTCTTAATCTATGACTTTGCCTGATAAACTCAGGTACATCAAAAGTGTACATCTCAAGGGGGAAAAAGTTTTCTCATCTAAGACATTTTGGTTCAGGGAAGAAGTGAAATACATAAACAATTTTAAAGCCAATTAATAGGTGAGCCTAAGGTTGATTGTGGCTTTACTCAGGAAAAAGTTGAGATCAGCAATTAAAAAAAGAAAAACAGAAGTGAAAACTAAACACAGGGGGAGACCCTGCAGTCAGCAAAACAGAAGGAAACTGAATCATAAAGGCACTTCTCCCACATAGACAAACATAGATAGATGTTGTGATTTTCTGCAAATTCAAATCACAGAGCTAGGAAAACACCAACAGCTGGGATACGCTGAGCTTTTATATCCCTGAGTCAAATCTCTATCTAGCTTGGATTTTCCAACTCAACAGCTGTCTTAGATTCTCCCCACTGTTCCTTTAAGAGGAGCTCTTCTTTTCCTCTTGTCCGCGTGTTTCATTTTATTAGATCACAAGAAACTTGAGGAAATAGGAAACTGAATACTCAGTAAAACTGGAGGCGAATAACAACCTTGGCACCTGCTCAGATGTACTTTCCCTTTCCCTTGTTATGACCTCACAGATCCCAGGTTTCTCATGTTCAAGCTCAGCTACTCTGCTAAACCAAGATGAGCTGAGTCAGAGTCAAGACCATTCTATAAAACACATAAAACTGGACTCTGCCAATTAACTGAATGGTTGATGCTGAAACATTTATTAGAGACATGCACACGTACTTTGTTTTCTTTTTCTAATACTTCCTCTTCTGCATTTTTGGGGGTGAGGGGAGAGGGAAAAGAATCCATCAGAAATCCTGGCGCCCCAGAGCTCCAGGGCACTCCTCTCAGCACTTTGCCCTTTTCTCCAAACATCCATTTTCAACCAGCTTTCGTATGCACAAGCACAGCCCATCTTGTTTCCCTCCGAGTGAATAACACGATGGCACATCAACGCGTCCAAATCCAGCTGACTAGAATGTGGACTTTCCCAACAAGGTACCTTCTGCCGAACACCTCGCCTTAAAACTCCCATCGCCACCCCACTCCCCTTGACGGATGGATGGGGATAATGGCAATTATCCGGAGAACCCAGGTTTGACGAGGCTGCTAGAAACTAACAAGGAAGGAATTTACATTCGTGCAAATGAAGCTGCTCTGAATTATTCAGGTGCCGGTCGTCACTCCGAGCAATGAGAGAGGCCCCACGCGGACTCTCTCCTCAACTCAGCTCCCTTCAGGGAATACCCCCATTCCCGCTACGGCAATTCCTCCTGTCCTGCCCCCAATAACGGTGGGGGAGGCGGGGCTCCCATCTCACCTGAGCAGCTGGAGGGCGTCCGTCGACCGTGGGTCCTCCACTAGCACGTAGACAGTCGCGGGGGGCGGCTCTGGGTTGGGGGGCCTCTCGCTCGTGTCATGGGACATCATTCCCCCCGCCCCACCCACCCCCACTGGAGCTTCCTGGAAAGCAATCGGGGACTCTCAGCAGTTAACGGGGCGAGAGCTGGTCGGGCTCCGAGCCTGGTGCAATCGGAGGAAAAGAGATGCAGGAGGGCTCCGGACCAAGACGCAGAAGAAATCAGTAGCGGCGCCGTCTCCTCCCAAGGC